TTTTAGCTCAGTCTTCTTATTAGCTCTTGTAGTTTATATTAACCCATTATTCTGATCTATGTTAGCCATGTGGCTCAGTACCTTTCACAGTGGGGCAAATCACATGTTGCTTCTTCGGAGTCTGTGCAGGAGTGCGGAGGGATCTTCCTGCTTCCCAGAATACTCCTGTTCTTCTTGCTCCACCTCTACTTCCTCTCTGGTTGACCCACCTATACTTCCTGTCTGGCCAATTAGCATTTATTTAAAACATGATTGACAGAATACAGACAATTCTCCCACACCATGTGTTTATGTATGAGAGAATGTGAGTGTGTGTAAGGGAGAATGTGTATGTGAGAGAGAATCTGAGTGTTGTGTGAATGTGTGTTTGTGTGTGTGAGTGTGCATGTGCATATACGAGAGAGAATAGTGTGTGTGTGTGTGTGTGTGTGTGTGTGAATGAATGTATATGGCAGAGGGCTGTGTATTCACAGTGCTTACAGCACGAGTCTGAGGATGACCTTGACTTTTGGTCTTCAGGTACCTTTTGCCTTCTGTCTGAGACATTTGTCATTGACTGGAACTTGGCTGCATAGGTCAGGCTGGCCCACACATTCCTTGGAATCTGTATATGTATGCTGCTCATATTGCCAGCGTACCCAACTTTGTACTTGAGTTCTGGGGTCCAAGCTGTGTCCTTGTGTTTTCAAGGCCTTTCCCCAGCAAAGCCATCTGAATACCTTTCATGTAGACAGACCATGTCTAGAAACTTTTATATAGTAGAAATGACTTCAGAATATTAAGTTAGATATAACAATAATAACCAGGTTTCATAGTATCTAGACATTATTTGTGTGTGTAGCGTTTGCATGTGTTTGCACACCTCTGTATACATGGTCATGTTCGTGTGTACGTGTGTGCATGCGTGTGTGAATGTGCAAATGTGGAGGCTTGAAGTTGGTGCTGGGTATTTTCCTCAATGACGCTGTACTCTTTCTCCTTAGGTAGAGTCTCTTGCTGAGCCTGGAGCTCCCCAATTCCAGGTAATTTAGCTGACTAGTTTGTCCTGGAGCCTTTCCTTTTTAAGTACTGGGCTCATAGGTGGCCGAGTGGCTCCCAACCTTTATGTGGGCTTTGGATGGGAATTCCTATTCCTGCGCTTTTGAAAGTGTTGCTCCAGCCCAGCTGCACATTCCTAATGAAAATAACAATTTCCAGAACAGGACATCAGTAAGAAGAGTGGCTGGAATTTTCTGTTGTCTCAAGGCTCTGCGTTTGTCCTGTTTCGGGATTACCTGGTGGTCATTTGTTCTGTGAGGTTCATCTTGGTTGACAACTCTACACACCTGGAAAGGGAGAGCCTCAGTTGAGGAATTACCCCTACCTGTGTCTGATTGCCCTGTGGGCATTTCTGTGGGTGGGGGGGTCTCTATTGATGCGGGAAGGGCCAGCCTGCTGTGAGCAGCACCATCCCCAGGCTGTATGAGAAAGTTCCATGTTTTCCTCCTAATAATCGTGTACTCTGGCCTTTCCCTTTTTAAAAAGCTTTATTTTATTTTTATTTATGTGTGTCTGAGCATGTGGGCCAGAAGAGGACATTGGATACCTCAGAGCTGGAGTCCAGGTGGTTGTGAACTCCAGTCCTGGAGAACAGTCACTCAGTCCCAGCCTTTCTGTTATAACAGAAGGTAAAATTGCCTGTGTTTGTTCTTGGGTGAGCCTGTAGGTGTAGACACCACTAGGTGCTGGTGCCGTGGAAAGTGGAGGGCTGGGTAGGAGACACCAACGCGTGTTGGCTAGTCACTGACATTGCAGGTGAGGGCCGCTTCCTAAGAGGTATACAATACTAGATCACTTGTCCCCAGCTGCCCTGTAGCGCTCTCCCTTGCCCATGGGTCCTTCTCTGGCTACTGCTACCAGTATCCTTGTGATCCAGATAACAATGCTGTCAGCCGTATGCCATCCTGAGTCAGCCTCCATGGCAGCATGTTGAATTTGCCTTTTTGACATGTGGGACATTATAGGTGATGAGCTAATCAAACAGTTCAGAAATGTACTTAGGGAAACCTGGACTGTAGGATGGACTCTTACCGGTAGTACCCTCTGCTTTCCTCAGTGTTTCCCTCCCTGCTCTGCCCCCCATGGTCTGAAATCAGGTAACGTATAAGGTGTGTTCTCTGAACCTGGTCTGGCCTCAGCTAGAGGGAACCAGCTACTCTCTGTTTCACCTTCCTGTGAGAAAATTCAGATCAGAAAGACACATTATGCTGTCTGTTTTGGTCCAGTACTGCCCACACATTGAGGGAAACGCTAATACACCCTGCGAGTGTCTGATCAAAGCACAGGTGTAGGTACAGGGAGGCTGGCCTTGGCTGTTGGGACTGCACAGGAGCCTTGTGACAAGTGGCCTCAGAGTCAGGACGGGGCGATGAGACTAGGGTGCTGTTTCATGTCTCCTTCTGGAACGTTACCTGCAGAGAAATTAAACATTTACCTTCACTGGTACTCTCCATTCTTGGCACATGACAGCAGACTTAGGGCTGACCCGGCTGTCCCCAGCACCACAAGTCTGGAGAGATGGAGGAAAACATGCCTGCTCCCTTAGCCTTTGGCTAAGTTTCGCTCCCACCACAGTCTATGAGAAAGTGAGGGCTGGGGGGTTCCCTAACAGTGTGGTAGGCCTCAGTTGGTGGTTTTCTTCAGGTGGTGGCTTGAGATTGAATTAAGATGATTATAAGGGAATTTTGGACCTCTTGATTTTTTAGTCTTTGTGTTTGAATTAGATTTGAAGAAATACTATGAATTGCTAATTAAAAAACCTTTCTCTTTGTGAAAATAATTCACGTTAATTATAGAAACTGGAAAAATATAAAAAAAATAATGCTGAACATGTTTCTATTCAGGGACAATCACTAAAAACATTTTGTTGTATTTGTGCGTATTTTATATGCATAATTAAGATCATTGTATATAAATTTTGATTTGCTTTTATTGCTTAAGTTCTCTCCTGTGTTGGCTGCAGCACAGTATAGGTGTTTGCATGGGTTTCTTATACCTGCTGCAATGGCTTCCTATGTATGGAGTGGCAGTAAACAGCGCATGTTTCCTTGAGTTGCAAGAGACCAGAGTCCCAAGTCAAGGTGCAGGCAGGACTGACCCCTCAACTGGCTATAGGTGGCTTATTCTTCCGTCAGCATCAGCTGTGGCAGTCAGGTCTTATTCAGATTATTGCTTTTGTTTTGTTTTGTTTTGCAGTACTAGGATGAGTCCACACCCAGGGCCTTAGGCCAGCACTCTGTTTCTGAGCTGTGTCCCAGATTGCTTTTTAAAGTGAACAAACAAACAAAAATTCCAGAAAAAAAGTTTCTCCAGTTTTGAGTAGGCTATCACTAAGTTTCCCAGCCTGGGTTATACTCACTCTGCAGCCTCTGTTGGCCTCGAGTCCATCCTGGCTTGAACTCAAGGTTGTTGGTATCTGCTGAGTTGTCCATACAAGGTTACAGTCACAGCTTTCCGGACAGGGCTCTTGTCAGTCTGCCGTGCTTCAGAGGGGCTCTGAGGCTGTACTGTGTGGGTCCAGATCCCGGAGCCCCCTCCTACAGGCCAGATGACTGTGAGCGAGTATTGTGATTCTCAGCCACTCATATTCTGATCGTGAGGTTGAAATAAAATACCGCATTCCTGAGTTGGTAGAACCGTTGTTGTTGTTGTTGTTGTTGTTGTTGTGTGTGTGTGTGTGTGTGTGTGTGTGTGAGAGAGAGAGAGAGAACATATACAATATATGCTTAGGGGAGTGCCTAGCTTACTTAAGAATTGCAGTTATTTTTGTTAAAAATTCTGCATAAAATGGTTTTTTATCTTAATGGCTTAATAAAATTTTATTTATGAACCCACCACATTTACTTATCCAATATTTCCCTTTTGTTGGCAAGAGCTCTTTTTGCTTTTTTCCTCTTGTGGATATTCTTGACAGTCTAGTTTTGTTCTGTCTCAGGCCCGTTCCCTACCATAGACTTTGGAAAATGGAATCTGTGGCTTCAGCTTCCCAGTTTCTCAGTCAGAGTACTCAGACCTGTCCCTGCCGACATGGAGATACGAAAGTGTATGCACTCTCGGGGCTCCTGAAACTGTCTGCAGCTAAGGCTGGGTATGGGTTTGCAAAGGAACCAGTGGCTGTCGTTTTGAAATGATGTCCTGTTCTTCTGTGTCTCCAAGTTCTTTTCCGTTCATTTCTAAGACCGAAAGCTTCCTGGGAGTTTCTGAGGTCAGCCAGGATGAGTGTTTGCGGCAGGGTGTCTCCAGGTTTCTGTTTTCACATGTGGTGTGGACATTTAAAACCAATTGGTTTAGTTTTGCAGCTGAACCCATGTGAGGCCCCGAGGGATGATGCTCCCAGCTCTGTCCCCTGCAGTCTGGGCCTCTGTCCTAATGTCTTGTGACTCTGGATTTTAGGATTTATATTTTAGCTCTGCACTCTGGGTCCCTACATTTTCTTCCTTGAATACTTTTGGTCCAGTGGTGTGAGACCCATGCCATTACTCCTCTTTTCTTTTCCCCAAGTCTTTATTTTAGAAGCCACTATGGGGGGGAGGGCAGGAAGAGGGGTGGAGGGGAGAACTGTGGTTGGAATGTGAAATGAAATTTAAAAAATAAAAAAAATATCAAGATGCCACTGTTTCTTCACTGCCTTCCTTTGGTCCCTTTCCTGGATCAGCCTGAGTCTTGTTTTACAATAGTGACTGCTGGCTACAGGAAATAGGGATGCTCTCACCAGTTTAAGTTGGCAGAAGATTGCGAGGACTCCCGGGAATTCTGGGAACAAACTCAGCAGTCTGCTGGGGGTGCTCGTAGGAGGTGCACTAGCTTGGGCTGTCTCTCGGGTCCGGCGGTTGACTGTCCGTCCTTCACCTGGCAGTTGGAGGAGCGAGCATGTGTCTGTCTTCTCAGCATGGGTGGGAGTCAGGACGGATAGCCCATCTCAACACATCTCTCTTACTCCTTCGTGTCTGATTTCTCAACAGGAATCACTCAGGTCACCCTGACTGGAAGTCAGCTGACTGGCGTCACTGAAACAACAGCTCCTGAGTTTGAAGAAAAGGTAAAAACTACTCATCCTTAGGAAGATGGCGGATATGCCTCCTCTCTGCTTGGCTTGCTCTCTTCTCGCTCGTCAGAGGCCTTTGTCTGCACAGGGTTGGTTTTGAACTGGGGTTGAACAAGAGGCGGCCTGATGTGATGTTTCAGTCTTACTGTGGTTGTGCCTGGCAGACCTCTCATGTGAGCCTCTGGTCTGCTTGGTGAACAGTTTCATGGAGCTGTCTTCTTACCTCAACATTTCACTGTAGAGTAGCTGGTTCCTTTTCTCAAACCGTGTATGTACCTGCAGTTATTCCTAAGAAGCTGCTGGCTGTCCTTGGGTGACAAGTCCCAGCCGTTCCTTGGTGACCATAGCCACACAGTCTCTTGGGTCTAAAGTGCCTTCCCACTTGCTGGTAATCCTACACCCAGCATCCAGCTCCCTTCTCTCAGCAGTCTTGGGAGACAGGCAGGCATATGGTAGCCTTTCATTCCAAGTCAGCAAACCAGCTCACAAGTTCAGAGCTTGTTCCAAGGGCACGAGCCATGGTGGACATAGTCTGTTTACTCCCTTCCTTGTAACATCGTGGTCTTCTCTTTGGAAACCATGGCAGTCTGCTTGTGTAAAGAAACCCGGAGCCCCACCCTTCCCAGCCTCAAGTGGCTTTCAGGGGATTTTGCTGTCCTGTTGACCCTGCTGTTTCTCTATCGCCAGCTTTCCTCTACAGCCAGGAGCCTCCTCGGGGTCCCTTCCAGTCAGCCTTGAAAGTGCCCTCTCCCACTTAGGGCTCATTTACATGCTGGGAGTATAGTTGTTTCATATGAACGCTGCATGGTCATACTTCATAAATCAGCTGAAGTCAGTGTCCTATCAACGATTCTGCTGCATCTGATGAGGTTTTCTTTTTCATTTTTAAAATAATTGCAAATGCTCCTGTCAATCAAGGTGGCACTGCACACTGAATTGCTGTGTGGAGTTGTTTAGTTAAATGCAATTTCTAAAAAAAGAAAAGAATCAACTTTTAATTAGAAAGCAGATTGTCAACTGACATTTGATGTGTCCTTTGATGAGGAAGTTGGAAAACAGATGCCACAGTGCTAGGCCAGGTTGTAGTCCAGAAGGAGGCAAATTCGCTTGAGAGCAGGATGCAATTTCAATGAACCATTGTTTCCTGAAATAGGCTGACCTTTCCGGTCTCTTCAGTTGGAAGGCTTTCCTCTGTGTTTGATACCAGTTGCCCCGGGACTGAACGGAGCCCTCTAAACAGGCCCATATTCTCCAGGTATGAGTTGCAGGGCCCGTGACCAATACCACCGCTCTGTTCCTAGTAATACCTGAGGAGAGAGATCAGCAGAGCTCATGATGCTGTAACTGAAGAATTTATTGTTGGGCTGTGCACTTATAGTCGTAACATAAAGCAAATTAAAAGAAGATTTTATTGTGTATTTCCACCATATATTGTCCTGTCACATGGAGGAATTTTCATACAAGTATTATACTTAGAGTACTAACCTCCCCCATGTCTCCACTGTCCCCTTTCACCCGTTAGTCCCTTTCTTTCCCTGGACAATTTTACTTCATGTGATGTATACATATATACATCATTTTATATCTCCATGAAATCTAGGAAGCACAAAAAGAGAAAACTGAAATTTGTCTTTCTGAGACTGACTTAATTTACTTAATATGACTATTTCTAGCGGCATCCATTTTCTTGCAAATGACATAATTTTGCCTTTATGGCCGCAAAAAAATTCCATATAAACCAAATTCTTTCTCTCCATTCCTCTTGTCATTAGATACCTAAGGGTTTTTGTTTCCTTTGGGTACCTGTGATGCTGGGGCTGGGACAGAGGCAGCTGCGCTCCTCCTAGTTGAACTTGGTCTCGCTGGTTGCACTGCATCCTGAGCTGGCGCAGTGGCAGGGACACTCAGTGAGAGAAGATGACAGAAGCGTCAGCACAGAGACCCCTCAGGTGCTCGTCATTCCCCATGATTCCTTTGTGCTGTCCCGTCCTTTCTGTTTCTTGTTCAACAGTTGGCAAACCTGGGTATGGCAGGGGCACCTCGAGCTCCATGTGGCCATGGTTTAGCTCTTCCCAGATCTCTGCTCTCCCTCCTCACAAATGTCTGCCCTCCCTCCCTCCTCACAGATGTCTGCCCTCCCTCCCTCCTCACAGACCTCTGCTCTCCCTCCCTCCTCACAGATCTCTGCTCTCCCTCCCTCCTCACAGATGTCTGCTCTCCCTCCCTCCTCACAGACCTCTGCTCTCCCTCCCTCCTCACAGACCTCTGCTCTCCCTCCCTCCTCACAGATGTCTGCTCTCCCTCCCTCCTCACAGATGTCTGCTCTCCCTCCATCTTATCCAGGTGGAGAGTGGTTCCCTTGCTTTTCCTTTTAAGCCAAGACTTGGAGAGTCATCTGGGCCTAGTTGCCTTTTCTCCTTCCAATCTTGAAGGCCTCAGTACTTTTCTCAAAGTTAATCTCACCCTCATGCACTCCTTCCCAGTCCAGACCAGCTTCCTGTTGTCAGCTGGCTGCCTGGCACTTCTCTGTCTCTGTCCTGACCCTCCCTCTGGGCTGAGAGTTATCTTGACAGTACAACCATTGTTCTTCTTCCTGCCCTTGGATGGAGCCTGTAGGCTTGAGGGGACTGTGTGCACTGAAGATTGCCATAACGCTGATCTTCCTAGTGCAGGAAGATACTGTCAGGCTTTCAAAGGCCTAAGTGGGATGGCTGTGGTGTTATAGGACATGGAACGGGGTGGGGGTGATTTGTTCCCAAGAATTACGGAGTTTCAATTCTTAGACCTCAGAGGTGAATCATTGTTTCATTTGGGATTTTGATAAGCTCACAGCTGCTACATACTGAAAAAACATTTTAACACCTCCTTCCTTCCCGAGTGACCCTCTCCCTCTAATATTCTTGGCGTAAGAATGTTTAGTAGCAACGTCACTCGGACTCATGACTACATCTAGTGGTAGAAAAGAGCAAGACCAATGTCCTGCAGAGGAGGAAGAAGGCTCAAGCTGGCAGATTGGCCCTCCTGTTAAACACATTCTTTTCCGCAGCATCTGCTGTTCTTATCTGACCTTGAATTTTCTCTGGTGTGTAGTTTCACAGTCCAGCACGGCTCTTTACCTAACACCCCATCCTCACCGGCTTCCTGGTCAAGATAATGAACAGGGGATAGTGATTTGGTGCAGTGTACTCTCTAAGGAACTCAGCTGTCCTGTGATCTTAAATTTGAAATAATATGACTGATGAATCATGACAAAAATGACCACGATTTGTCTCACAAGGAGAGTTCTACGGGTGTTGCAAGCACTGTGGTTGAGTTTATGCCCAGTGACCCTAGGTGCTCAGGTGACTCCTTCCTCACCTTCGGAATAGAAAGTAATGTGAACTTTACGGTATGTCTTAAGGGGAACTGCCAAGCGCTTCAGACAGTAGGAGGTCCCCAGGACTGTTGGGGACACGTGGTGGGGCATGAGCTCTGGCAGGTGGGTAGGCGCTAGATTGTGGAGGACCTTACTTGTGAACAGGGTTAAACAAGGAGTTTGGCTTCTTTAGCTAGAGGAACATTGTTGAGAAATTTATGTTAGGGAGTTCTGGGTCAGATTCCTCTTTGGAATATGGCTGCCTTCTTCCTCACGTCCTCCCCAGCCAAAAGGCAGTGGTCTGATTCCCATGTTGTGTCTTTTAATCTATTCTTTTTTTTTTAAATACGTTTTATTGTGTGTTTGTGTTTGGGATGGAGATGCGCTAAGGCATGTGTGTGCATCAGAGAACATGTGTGTTTGTGTTTGGGGTGGAGATGCATTATGACGTGTGTGCACCAGAGAACAGCTTGAGGGGTCAGTTCTCTTCACCACGTGGTTCTTGGGGATCAAAGGCAGGCTACAAGGCTTGGTAGGAAGCACCTTTACCTGTTGAGCCATCTCTCCAGCTCCTTTGATCTGTCCTGTGAGGCCTGACCCCAGTTTACTGATTAACCACGAAGGTGACATGCCGCTGGATGCACTGGTCAGCGAGTGCCTTGCAGGAGTCTGGGGGCGGGGGCTTCTGTACTCTCAGTGTTACTAGCCAGGGCTCTGCTGTGTGTGGACATTCTGGCTTCAGGCTCCCTCGGATCTTGGAAACAGCACTCTCATGGTGCTGTGTCAGCAAAATCGTAACAGTTTCTAGCTGCTGGGAATCTATATGTTTAATGGTCAGTTACTGCTCGCTTGACTTTCTTGTTATTAGTCTGATAGGTTGGCTTTTAACCCTGCATATCGAGTAATGCTTTTTTATGAGAGTGATATTTTTATGCTGAAAAAGTTTCCAGCGACTATACTTTCAGACAGACATGAGGTTAGGTGAGTCATCTGTACCCCTCTGCTGAGGATGTTCACATCTCCCGTATCTGCTGCCACAGTGATTTTGAAGTTTGCTTTTGTTGGGAAGGGGAAGTGAGGGGGATGGGCGGGTATAGTACGCTTTACCCTGCCTGTGTGGGCAGCAGTTTTATATGGGGCTAGGCTTATTTTCATACCTAGGGCTTGAGAGAGTACTGAGTTTAGGAGAAAACACAGGTTACTCAACTGTTTTGGCAACCTTCAGAAAGAAAGATCAGGCCTGAATTCAAGGCTATGGGGACAGAGAAGAGAAGGGGACATAGGAGCAGAATCGGGAATGAGAAGGGCAGGGATAGAGTGTCTATGCCAGGAGTGATGCTGGGGAGGAGAGGTTGGGGAAATCCATGCTTTGGCTCCAGCAGTGTTAACAAGAGGAGTAGGCTGGCACCAGTCAGATGGGAAAGCTTGAAGTAGCAATGTTTTCCCACTCTGTACAGACAGATATGCGACTGTGGATGGGCCATGGTCCAGGGCCAGGTCCACACTTCACACGTGAAGGACCTTGAAGGCCCAGCCACATCAGCACCGTGTAGCATTGGCAGTTGGAGTCAATAGGCCTCTTGGTTGAGTGGCCCTTGGCTCTGTTGACATCCTGACATTTGGGGGTTGAGGGACTGGGGGGCAGGTCAGATGGGCACTGAATGTCAGTGGGGACTGCAGCTCTGCCTTCCCTGGGCTATAGAGAGTTCAGATTCTAGGTTTATTACTGTAGGAGCCTGGTGAGCCCCGTCAAGAGCACGTTAGCAGCGGGGAGTGGTGGCGGCAGTGGGCACTGACTGACTTAGGCCCTTGGAATGGACTTATTGACAGTCCATTCCATGCTAGAGGTCTCCGTGGGCAGAGGCCATGCTAACCTGGAATACTGGGAAGTCTAAGATGAGCACCTTCTGTGCTCTAAAGCCTTTTAGTTCTGTGCAGTTTACCCAGGCTGCCCACCTCGATACCTACTTTAGAAAGTCAGCTTAAAGTCCAACCAAAAGATGGCATCTCAATTTAAGGCTAAATTGTTATCAACTTGTTATTGACAAATGAACCTTAGTAGCTCAAGGTCCTTGTCTGATGGGGCCATTTTCTGTCTCCCACCCCAAGACCCATTCTTAGGAAACTCCCAGTGAACACACACTGCTATCCCAGGGAACAACACTATTTGGTAAACATTTAGAGCACCCAGTTCACTGCCTGCCTTTTGCAAAATAGTTTAACTTTTTCAGGAGTCTGGGGCTACCGTGAACCCAGATTATAAGCCTCGAGATGTTGCCAATCACCCTTCAGTCTCTTGAACCCATCTATCCAGTCCTGCAGCTTTCCAGGCCACTGAGTGCTTCAACCTTTCCCTGTGCTCCCGGCTTGTCCCTCTCACACAGCACACAGTTGTCTGTGATCGTCTTCCTCAGTCAGAACTGGAGTCCGAGACCAGGTCCACCACCGCCATCGGACGCGCGCGCAGAGTTGCTTTGTGTCTGGTGAGTCGTGGCTGTTTCCAAGACCTGGCAGGCAGTCATCACAGTCACCGCAGGCAGTCAACACCAGGCAGACAGTGGATGGAGTTTGCCAGTGAATCTGCGCATGTGGGTCCCGGCACATTGGTGCACGACGAATGTCTGTGGAGTAAATGAAGTGTGGTGTGAGTTCTTCTCTGTCTTCATCTCCAGGTCCGGCCCTGCAGGTCATTGAGCCCCAGTTTCTTTAGAGATGAAGGCCCACATGCAGAGTTTTGGGAATAGAAAGTTCCATTCTTTTTTGAAAAATGCAGGCAGCCCTTCACTTTTTGATGTATCTGCCATCAGCTGGGATCTGTGATTTACTTACTATACTTTAGCTTAGAGATGGATTTTTCATTTTAAAGGTTCACTAGACACTGATGCTTGTGGTATTTTGGTTGTTGATGAAGTCTGTGCCTGTAAGAACCGAGGGCTGTGTTCATGTCTAGAAAGGAGAGGGGAGTGTGTCCAGATCTGGCCTTAGAAACATAGGGATGGGCTGACAGGTTCTAGTCAAATTATAGTGTTCTTATTTGGGGTACCCCATAGTGCATCTGCTGTGGGTGAGATGGCACCACAGCATGAAGTGCATGTCCTCTTGAGGAGCATGTTTTGATCTGGAGAAATGACATAGAAAGAATATTAACCATGGATAGTGTTGGATGAGAATTTAACAAGCTTATTAGTGAAGCAAAGGCCATGGAGCCAGTCTGCTCAGGTTTGACACTGATCCACTACCTGTTTGTGCTCTGGTGTCTGGGCCAATTCTTGAACCTTTAAACTGGCTTTTTGTCTCTGGGATGAGGGCCTGGTGCCCAGGGAGAGCTGGGGGCCCGAGGATGTTGTCAGGGGTCAGTGGGAGCCACGGATGGCTTTGTCGTGATGTCTGACACTGTACAAACAAGGCTAATGTTACAGATGATGTCTTGACATTTGAAGACAATAGAGCAGACAAAATGGAGTTTTATTCTTTGGCTGCCTGTGCTCCAAGCCTGGCCTTTAAAGAAGGATGACTCTGTTCTGTCTATTTCAGATGGAGAAATTAGAGAAATGTTGTCTTAAACTAAATACATGCTGTTGGCTAGTCTGCACCTCTTCATGAAGTCTCCCTGGAACCTGGCTTTAGTCCTAAGCTGTTGTAGAGTTGAGCTGTCATTGGCCAGGGATGAGTTGGTCTAGCGTGGAGTGCCTGCTGTCTTAAAGTGTCTAACTGAGTATTGGGTGAAGCTGAGGTGCTGTGGGTTTGCATAAGGATTTGTCACTGAGGAATGGCGGCGTAGAAGAGCTGGTCTCACTCCTGGGTACCTTCACACATGTGATGTCCTTTCTGTCTCAGGGAAACCTGTTTATCAGGTAGAGAATGCTCCAGAATAGAGAGAACAGCAGCTATCGTGGGCCTGTGACCCAACTGTAGAATTTCTTCTGCAGCCTGCAGTTCCTCTTCTGCCTCCTTTGACCTCTTCTAAAGATGGAGAGCTCCCTGCCTCAAAAGCAGTCCAGGCTAGCCCCCTGTAACTTCTGTCCAGGGGTCAGGGTTCCTCTGGGGCCCCAGCTTTGACCTCAGCTCACTCACTCGATCATGGGAGGTGTCTGTGAGACCAGCCTGTGCTCGTGAGGTCTCCCTTTCAATACTCGGACACTTCTGGGCCAAGATTATTTTTTCATAAGCAGGCGAGTTATGCAATTGTAAGCTAGTCTGGGAAATGTGGCGATAACTCAGACTGAAAAGGGAGGGCTGTGGCTTAGTGGGCGTGGTAGAGCTGAGATCTGGTAGTGTTTGCTGACAGAGCAGCTGTCTCACCTTGTTTAGGATGCTATGCCTCAGCCACCACAGCTCTCCAGCAGTTCCATGCCCTTCCTGAGCAGGTGCTCTGTGACTTCCCCTACTCCCTCTCTTTGCCTGCTTTCCATATTGTTTTTCATGCACAGTTAGTTGTCTTGTCAGTGTTTCTGTCCTGACGAGAGCTGATGGGTAGATGCTTGCATTGTGCTCAGTATGCAGCGGGTCTTGGCACACTTAGCTCCCCAGGTGTAACTGCTCACTGGAGCATAGAGAGGCCTAGTGGCCCACTTGTAGCTATAGACCAACAAATGGAAAAACCAGGGCTCTGCCAGTCCTCGCTGAGTAATTGTCTGCTGAGAGGTTTGTGGGGGGCTGCATGTTCCTCCTTCCTGCTTGCCCTGCCCCCACCACAGCTGCTCAGAGGCTCTGATGACCCACCTGTGGTCACATCAAGTGGGCACTCCTTCTTCCCCAAACCCCTTCTTCAGTTGGCTTCCAGGGCATCCTGCTCTTACCCATTTTTTCCTGATTCTCTTTTATCTCTTACCAGTTTCTTTTAACTCCCCAAGCTCCAAGCATTGGTTGGCAGCAGGGCTTGGTTCTCAGACTCTGTTTTGGCCTGCGGCTACTCATGAACTTTCTGTGACCACATTTCATCTCCCATTATCTCCTGAATCCAGACCAGCTCCTTGAACTGAAGGTTGGGTCCTGTCCAGCTGCCTACTCAGGGTCTTGATGTAGTCTGTCAGGATCTCAGAGTTGACTCACATGTCCAGGTTCCTATTTCTCTGTATCCCCCACTCCTCCAGTGTCTTCCCTACCGAGCTCTGTTTTTCTCATGCCGCTCTCCCTATCTGTTGGCCTCTCTAAGTGCACCCAGCATGTGACCACATCTGCCCTCGCTCTGGACCAAGTCCCCATACCACATGAAGGGTTTGTTAGTTTCACCTGAGTCCCTTGTTTCAGTCTTTGCCTCTAGTGAGTTTTTCTATAGAGTCCTTATTATAAAATGTTAGCAGATGGCTCCTGGGGCCTCACGTGCCCTTGGCCTGCTCCCACTTTCTGATCGTTCCCCATGATACTCTCCTGCCCTCTGCAGCCTCACTGGCCGCACTGTCATGCTACGGTGTGCCCGACATGCCCACCAGAGGGACTGACTTTGCTCTGCTGCCCATCTGGAAGGTCGTCCCAGAGATCTTGACGGGCTGTTCCTCACCTTCTTCCAGGCTCTGGTCCAGGCTCACTTTCTTCTGAATCCCTCTGCCACCATTGGCAGAAAGTTGGCAGCTTCCTGGAGGCTGGGTGTCTGCCTTCTCACATCCCCTGTGAAGGAAGAGCACTTGCTACTTAGGGCAACATTTCTGCCCGCGTGGTTCATAGCTGGCTCCTTGCCATTGTCTGAGTCAAGAAATATTTGAATGAGAGGTATTTTTATCTCTGATTTGCAATGAAATAATTGAAGGTCTAAGAGGCTAAGTGTTTGGCCAGAGTCGCCATCCCTAGAATTACTGGGCTAGAGCTGAGACCCTGCCGTGTCCCCGATTGCTGTGTGTGTGTGTTGTCTTTTCTTATTGCAAATGCCACACAGAGTGGCTGTGAGGATAAGAGGGATAGTGCACAGGAAAGCACTTTGCAAACCCCAGTTTCTAAGACATGTAACCTGCCCAAGGCACTGAGAACCCTGGATGCCCACGCTGCTTCTGTTCAGCAGCCCCCAGATTCTCCTGTGTCCTGGGACTTCTCTTTAGGCATGACTGTTTCTGGTGTTGTCAAATTTTATCTTTTCTTGGTCCTTCTGCCCTCACTGTGAGGTGTGCTTCTGTGTGTAGTCCTGATCTCCTATACCACACACACACACACCCCTGGCCTGTTAGCCAGAGGGGACGGAGGAGCAGGCTCCTGCATGGCCCTCACTGTTTGTTCTTGTGTGTTTCCAGGAAAGCACTTAGGTTAGCCGCAGGAGCTCAGCGGGAGTCTCTTTCTCAGTCTCCCTAGCAGCCTGCCTGCCCCTTGCCCCTACTCTGTGGAAGGGTGGAGTGAAGGAATCCCAGTACACAGTAGGAGAAAAAGGCCATGCAGGTCTTAGCCGGCTCCATAAACTACCTTCTTTGGTATTGAGCAATGAGACCTACACTGAGAACAGGCCAGCCATCTGCCCGGGACCTGGTTCCTGGACTCTCCATGTGTTGAGTGGTCAGATACAGTTGCCATAGTCCTCAGCTTCTTACTATGGACTCCAGGCCAGATCAAGCTGTAATTGGTGAGCACAACTCCAATTCTGGGCTGTCTCCGTGCTGGCCCTTGTCAGTGTAGTGCTGGGCAGAGAAAGCTACACTGACCCACAGGGGTTTGGAGCTGCCTTGAGTTCGTACTCACTATGACAGGATGCAGCCTGGCTTTTTACCTGGCGCTGCAGCGTAGGCACCAGCAGGATTCTCGGGCTCACAATGACGTAAGTGGTGTCTCTTCAGAAACTGGAGTTTGCAGAGAGCTTTCTGGCCTGGTGCTCTTGACATCAGCACAAGCCTGCCTTGAGCTGGACTCTGTCCGTAGCAAGTGAGACAGCCTGCAGGCCTCACGTTCTTCCTGTGGCCTCAGACTGTAGAGCCGATGAACAGGACAGGTGGTCCAGAGGCTTGTGGAGAGGATGCTGCTGGCCGTCTTGGAGCAGCCGCATGGAGCAGCACCTGTCCGTAAGGAGCTGGGCTGGACACACAGCTGGGCCTGTTTGGGACTCGGGGCCTGCAGCTCCCAGCCTCAGTTTCCTGTCTGCATGTTTGTAGAGTGCTATTGGGGAGGGCTTGCCTGGGAAGCAGCAGCTACTGTTCTCAGTTGTGGGTGACTGGTGGCCCCATGGAGTACAAAGAGGGTGAGCTGCTTTCAGTCTGTCCTGAGTTCAGATCTTAGTCAGTTATTGCTCATTAAATGTTTCATGCATGTTTACTGTGGATTTTCACCGGACTTGACCTTGTGCTGGTTCCCTCACAGTCTTTAAACTTGGAAAGTTCATTGTGCTGATCTGAATTTCTTCCATCATGTAGAATAGTAGAAGTGGCGATCCTAGGGACCATGGTCAGTGTGAAGCGAGGGCTCAAAGTGGTCCATAATTCCTACCTGCGTCTTCCCATTCTGACGGTTTGCTGAAGAACTGCCTCAGTTCGGCCTTCGTCCTCCATCCAGCACATTTCTGCTAAGTGCCTGTTACTCTCAGTGTTTCCCGACAACCCAGGGGGTTCATTTGCCGTCCCCGAGAAGTGGGGAGTAAGTGGCAGAGGCCCAGCCAGTGAGGCAGTGGCCACCAGCTTGGGCTCTTGTAAAGGCACAAATTGAGTCATGAGGTCACAGATAAGGAGCCATTTCTTCTGCCAGGAGAGTGTCGGGAAGGTTATGAGTGAGAGTTGACCAAGGTTGGGACGGGCTGTGGCAGCTGATGGTGCCCAGAAGAGGGTGCCCAAGGGGAAGTACCGGATTGATTGTGAGTATAGGTGCCCAGTGTGTTGGTGGCCATGGGTCATGCCGCTTTAGGAGGCCTGGGAAAGCCAGTGGTGCTGGGCTGTGAAAACCCTGGGGAGCTGTCACTGCGGTGGGTGAAGCCCGTGTTGCTGACATTTCCAGGAGGGCAGAGCCTAAGGCTCCTTATAGCACCGTTTGAGCTCAGCAGTGTCTACGACAAGTGTTGTACAAGCTACTGAGGGAATGAAAATGCTCCTAGGAGCCAAATTAAGACAGGGAACAGGTGAAGGCAACTCTTTGGGTATCCAAAATATTATCATTTCAACATGCAATTTTTGGCACTAATCTACCAAAATATGGTCTGTATTAAGCAACATGGCTCATTTTGAAGATCTGTCAGTTTAAGGTTTTATAAATTATGTGAATGTGTCTCTGTGTGGGTGTGAGCAGGTGTGTACGGGTGTGTCTGTGGAGGTCAGAAGAGGGCATCAGACTGTGTGGGTGTGAGCAGGTGTGTACGTGTTGTAAGAACTGCGGGTTGCATTCTGACACCCAGCTCCCACCACCGGCTAGCTTTACCCAAAATAACAACACACAAACTGTATTCTTTTAAACACTGCTTGGCCCATTAGCTCTAGCCCTTACTGGCTATTCTGATATCCCGATCAACCCATCTCTAATAAACTGTGTAGCACCGGTCTTACTGGGAAAGATTCAGCATATCTGACCTGGCAGCTTGCTTCATGGCGTCTGCCCGGGAGAGGGGAGCATGGCCTCTGAGCTCACTTCCTCTTCCTCCCAGCATTCTGTTCTGTTTACTCCTCCCACCTATGTTTTAACCTATGAGGCCAAGCAGTTTCTTTATTACTTAACCAATGACCTTCCTCCATCATGTACGGGTGTGTCCGTGGAGGTCAGAAGAGGGCATCAGACTGTGTGAGTGTGAGCAGGTGTGTACGGGTGTGTCCGTGGAGGTCAGAAGAGGGCATCAGACTGTGTGAGTGTGAGCAGGTGTGTACGGGTGTGTCCGTGGAGGTCAGAAGAGAGCATCAGATTCCCTGGAGAAGGAGTCGCAGGCATTGGAGCTGCCCTGTGGGTGCTGTAAATGGAACTCAGGTTCTTTGCAAGAGCATTGCTCACTCTGACTGTGGCGCTGTCCTCCAGTCCCTCAGCAGGGTTTTAAATGCTCAGGCTTCAGTATTCAGTAGAGGGTTTAGTCGATCTGGGATGCAGGGAGCTGGAAGTAACAACTTTGTTCTGCAGAACCTGCTCTTGAAGGCAGGAACCAGCCTTTGAGCACATCTGCCCAGCAGCTGGTTTCTGACTAGGAGAAAATAAAGCACTGAGGATTCTGTCTCCCTTAGGTTATACGGTCAATTAAAAAAACAACAGTGTCCAATTCAGGCACAAGGACAGCCTCTCTGGGTAACAATCTTCTGAGTGTCCACCCTCAGGTCAAGGACAACTCTCTGGGTAACAATCTTCCGAGTGTCTATCCTCAGGTCAAGGACAGCCTCTCTGGGTAGTAAGCTTCCATGTGCTGTTCACTGGGCTCCGCTTTGGCCCATTGAGTACCCTGGACACGTCTAGTAGTAGGTTGGTTCTAGTGTTTCAGGAACTCCACAAAGCAGCCTTCATACCCAATCAACAGAGGATAATCAGGTTGTGAAAAATCCAGTGTCTTGCCTGGGTTCTTGTGACTCCATGCATGCGGCAGAACTGAGACTCAGCCCTGACCTCAACCAGGCTCTTATTTCCAGCTGTTTCCTGTAGCACAGTGTAGTGCGAATTTAATTGGTCTTAATAAAAACCTGGAGTCAGTTATAGGGGTAAAAGCTGAAAGATCAGAGAAGCAGAGCAGCCAGCCACTGGTTCTTACCTCTACAGAATCCTCAGACCAAAGGGGTGATCCTGTCCCTAAAAGTACTCAGACTGAATGCCGTCTCTGTGAAACCTCAGACTGAATCCTGAGCTCCTGTCTCTTCCCACCACATACTCCTCTCTTTGCCCAGCCATATCCCTTCCCATCTCCACCTTCCTAGTGCTGGGATTAAAGGTGTGAACCACCATTGCTTTACCCTGTTTCTCTTTTAGACTGATTCAATCTCGTATAGCCCAGAGTGGTCTTGAACTCACAACAATCCATCTGCGTGTCTCCCAAGTGCTGGGATTAAAGGTGTGTACCACCACTGGCTGGCCTCTATGACTAACTAGTGTGTCTAGCTCTGCACTCTGATCTTCAGGCAAGCTTTATTTGTTTTTTTTTTTTTTTTTTCAAGCTTTATTTGTTAAAGCACAAACAAAATACCACCACGGTTTCCCTACTGGGATTCAGTGTCATATACATTATGATCTCTGAAGTGGGGGGAAAGAGGTCATTGTAGAACATACAACATATATTATATATATATATGTATGTATCCATCAATGTAAACACGTATGGGAGACTAGATAGTTATAATTGAGCAAAACCATAACTGTAGCAGTTCCTCATCTCCTGCCTATACCCCTACCTCCAGGCTCCTCCCACTGGCCTCTTAGAAGGCTCCAGGGTTGGCCAGTTGCCATGGGCTTCCATTGGTGGGTGTGGGACATAGCCTATGAAGTCCCATTAGAATCAGGGAGAACTCAGTGTTTGTGATGTTTCTGTTTCCTTGGTGAAGGGAGCCAGAGGCTGCGGGTGACCAACTGGTAGCATCAACTTCCGTCTTACTGGGTGCGTCAGGTATGTGCATTGTGATCTCTAACTGGAAAAAAACGATTAAAGAATGTAACTGCCTCTGTGTAGGGAACTCTACTGGGGGCGCAGTTAGTAAGAGTGTGGGTGAAGGCAGGCCTGAGCTGTCGGGGGACACCTTCAGAAATGGCAAGGCCCTAAAGAGAGCTAAGGGCAGAAAGGTGTGTGGCGTGTGCCCACAGGGTGGTGCCTGTGCAGGCTTGTAGGCAAACCTCGTGGGTTGGCAGTGGGTTGTGTATCTCCCTCTTTGGGTAAGCTGGGAGCTCTGGGGCAATATTTAAATAGGGGCAGAACATCAGAGTCACATCAAGGTGAAGGCGTTTATTACCACCGAAACAGATGCCAGTAACCTCAGGACAGAGGCCCTGCGAGAGTTGGGTCCTCCCTGAGTGAAGCTGCCTTTCTGTTCCTGCTTCCCACCATGTCTTGGCTCCCCTGCTTTTGTCTCGACACTGAATTGCTTCTGTAGTTTCTTCTCACTTCACACGCAGAGCTTGACCAGCACAGTGGCTCCTCCTGATCTCAGAGTCTAGAACTGCAGGCCAATTGCTCCGCTTCTGCAGGAAGAAAACTATCCATTTGCAGAGTCCTGCAGTGTCCACAAGGTGCAGCCCTGGCCCAGGAGATCACCCGATTCAGGCCCTCAGGCTAGCACTTGGGGTCCCCAGCATAGAGAGGGAAATCCCATGTCATTTCAAGCCTCCTTTCCTTAGACCTGCCTCCTAACTGCAGCTAACTTTTACTTCCAAACAAAACAAAACAAGTGTTTCTTTCCAGGATCAATGGTCTGCCCTGGAACACAGGAAGCACAGGTCTACAATGGAGGAGACACAGGAGCCTCCTATATCCCCTCCAGGCAGGCAGAACAATCCCTCCTGTCTTTTTCAGTATGGACAGCCCCCATGTCTCCTCCTGAGAGAACCACTCTGTCTCCTGCAGTGTAGACCTGACGCTCCCGTGTCTCCTGAGTGTGGACCTGGCCCTCTGTGTCTCCTGCAGTGTGGACCTGGCCCTCTGTGTCTCCTGCAGTGTAGATCTGGCCCTCTGTGTCTCCTGCAGTGTGGACCTGACCCTCCCGTGTCTCCTGCAGTGTAGACCTAACCTTCCTGTGTCTCCTGCAGTGTAGACCTGTCCCTCTGTGTCTCCTGCAGTGTAGACCTGACCCTCTGTGTCTCCTGCAGTGTAGACCTGACCCTCGAGTCTCCTGCAGTGTAGACCTGACCCTCTGTGTCTCCTGCAGTGTAGACCTGACCCTCTGTGTCTCCTGCAGTGTAGACCTGACCCTCTGTGTCTCCTGCAGTGTAGACCTGGCCCTCTGTGTCTCCTGCAGTGGCCTTCTGTGTCTTCTGCAGTGTAGACCTGACCCTCCCGTGTCTCCTGCAGTGTAGACCTGGCCCTCTGTGTCTCCTGCAGTGGCCTTCTGTGTCTTCTGCAGTATAGACCTGACCCTCTGTGTCCCCTGCAGTATAGACCTGGCCCTTTGTGTCCCCAGGGCAAACCCATGATCCTGCCTCTCTTCATCAGCTTCTTTCCTGTGCTATTTACTCTGCTTTTCCTCTCTTCCTTGAAAAATGTTCTCATTTCTGCTTCTTCCATTCCCATCTTTAGCAAGAGGATTTTCTTCCATTCTGCTAGGCCCCAAACACCCCCTGCTTACCCTCTTACTAAGATAAAACCAGAAAACCCTTTTGGTCACACAGAGTCCTCTAGCAGAACTTCAAGCTGTCTGCACTTCACTTTCCAAAATGTGTGCTCTCTCTTTATTGTTCAGGAGATGATGTAGGTGTCCATGCCACGTGGTCATCAGCTGTGCGTTGAGTGTGTTCAGCCAGTTTGTTTTTCATGGCCAAATTCTCTCCAGGAAGGAATCAGCATACTCAGTTACATTCCAAAGCATGCTGTTTCTTAGACAAGTGAGAACAAGTTTGGGACATCAATAACAACCTGCAATTGTTGGTCTCAACCCATCTCATCCCCCACTGAAATCCTCCACAACAGGCATGGTGCAGTGACCAGTACGGGCAACTTAGATCTGTCTTAGTTGTCTTCTCAACAGTGACCTTGGCTTTCCTGATCCCTGCAAGGAGCGGTGAGCGTTTCTCTTCAGTTCCCTTTCCTCTTCTCCGTATCTGCTGCCCCACAGCCAGAGGAGTGAACCTGGGAAATACGATCTAGGAGATGGGCGGGGTCAGAGAAGGGCCCTAAGAAGTGGAACAAAGCTCTGGGGCCTATGTGAAGGTCTGGTGGATGTGTGAAATGATGGACACTCCTGATCTTGAGGGAGGGTGAGACGGTGATATGAGAAGAACCAGCCATCCTTTGTGTGGCCCATTTTCTTATGAGTTCGCCCGGTCTCCTGGATGATGACAGGGCTGGAAGGAGGGAGTCAGAAACAAAATATGTTCTGTTGATCCAGGGGTCTGAAGGTCAGACCTGGACTATTGAGTCAGCCTTGGCATTGCCTAAGGCCACTGGGTCCTTGGAGGACTGTTGTCCCCGGTAGTGGATCATGGCTACTTCTGCAGGGAGCTGGAGGACTCCCAAGAGCTTGGCTTTAAGGGGTCCTTTAACTATGGGAGTGCCCTTGGTAGTGAGGAAGGCCCTTTCCTTCAAGAGGACAAAGTAGATATGGGCTATTAAAAAGACAAATTTAGAGTTAGTATAGATGTTAGCCCGTTGACCTTTGGCTAGCTGGAGTGCTCAGGTGCCTTTTGTAAAGAGGCTCCTGTTGGCAGGTGGGTCATTTCAACTGTTTTAGTAGAAGTGACCTCTGCATATGCTGCCTGGTGGTTTTCTGATCTGTCTGTAAGAGAACTTCCATCAACAAACATGGCAAGTTGGAGGTTTTTAAGTTGTTGGTCTAGGAGACCAGGCCGAGGTGAGCGTAAAGCTTCCACAGCCTCTGGGCAGGAGTAAGAGGAAGGAGGTATGGGGTAGAGCCGACAGGAAGGAGGGTTGCAGGGTTTAGGGCAGGACTGGAGGCCAAGGTAATTTGGGGGTTTTCTAGTAACAGTAAGTGAAAGACTTGGACTCGTGAAGGCCCAAGGAGAGAGAGAGAGGAGTGTCTCAGAAGATCTGAGAGGCAGTGGGTGGAATATACTGTGATTGGCCTGGACAGGGTGATCTTGGGAGCCTCCCAGGTGAGTTCAGCTGCTGCTGCCAGGGCTCTCAGGCATGGTTGCCATCCACAGACGGTGAGGTCCAGCTGTTTGAATAAAATGTTTGGATAAAAAGACGACAGCCTGATTCTCAGGCCCAGCCTGTTGGGTTAGAACTCCTGTGGCCACTCCTGACCTCTCATCTGGATAGAGAAGGTAAGTCTTCATGGGGTCTGGAAGAGCAAGAGCTGTTAGAAGGGCTCCTCACAGTAGAGAGAAGCAGCTATGGATGATGGCCAAGTTGATGAGAGGCCTTGTGGAGGTCTCTCTGGCTGCCTGGTACAGAGGCTTGGCTGTGATGGCAAAGTTAGGGATCCAATGATGGAAGAACCCTAGCAGGACCCAAAATGAGAGGATTTGAGCCCCTGTAAATCCCACAGGGCCTGGACTCTCAGAGGTGAGGGTCTTAGGCCCCCGGCTGAGTTGAACACGCAAACACACCACTGTGGGAGAGCACAGCTGAGCCTTAGCTGGTGAGACTCGATATCCCAGGGATCTGAGGAAGTTCAGGAGCACAGAGGTGGCCTGTTGGGACAGAGGCAATGTGGGACTGCAGAGAAGATCACCAACCTATTGTAGAAGTGTGCTAGGACCAGGGTCAAAGGTCAATAGATCCCGAGTAAATAATGGGGGCCGTCCTGAAAACCCTGAAGGGAGAACAGTCCATGTAAGCTGTCTGGAGGACGGGAAGTCAGGGTCCTCCCAGGTGAAGGCAAAGAGGAAGTATGCATCAGGGTGTAAAGGGACAGTAAATAAGGCTTCTTTCAGGTCCAGGGCAGTAAAGTGGAAGGTGGCAGGAGGGACGTTAGATAGGAGATTGTTTGGGTTGTTAACCATTGGATGAATTGGAATAACCGCCTCATTTCTGAGGTGGAGGTCTTGAACCAAACGGTAAGCACCAGAACACTTACGCTCGGGAAGGATGGGAGTGTTGCAGGGTGAGTCGATAGGAATTAAAATTCCCCGAGATAGAAGGCGGGTGATAATAGGCTTAACAGCTCAGCAGTGGATTTCAGGAATAGGAAATTTCTGGAAGGGAAGGAAGAGGGTTCTTAAGGTCCAATGGGATTGGCTGGTGGTGAGTAGCAACCATGGCAGTAGAAATATCCCACACTTGGGGATCTACTGGATCAGTGAGAGTAGGGATAGGACAGTCTAGGGTAGAAACTTGTGAAGGCCAAGGTGAGTGTGACCCCCGAAGGAACTGAGAATATCTCTACCAAGTAGGGGTGCAGGGCGAGCAGGTGTGACCAGGAAAGAGTGAAAAAAGAATCGCCTGCAAGAATGCAGGGCAGGGACAGGGTCTTAAGTGGGAAGGAGCGGGTCCTGTCCACCCCATGACAGAAGTTGGTGAGTGAATTGTAGGACCCGAGTGAGATGTCAAAACAGAGTAGGTAGCTCCTGTGTCCAAAAGAAAGGTAATGGATTTAACCTGCTACCTACAGCATTACCCTAGGCTTGGAGAGGGCAATGGGCGTCACCAAGTCTGGGCTGCGGCAATCCTCTGCCTGAGTCAAGTGCAGGTGTGTGGAATGTCTCATGCAGCCGGAGCCCTCCCTGACCAGGGGCAAGTGGAGCCCTCCCTGACTAGATACGTGCTTTCCCCATCCTCCCCCTCTGGATCTCATGGTTGAGAGGTGTCAGGACCTGAGGAAGAGGCCCAACAACTGTTCTTGTGAACTTTAACACAGTGTCACAAAGTCTCGTCGAAATTCTTGCCTGGACTTTCTGTACTTCAAAGCATCAGTGCTGGGCAGTCACTATTGCAGAACATCCTGTAATGGATGCCCTACACAGTTAACCCACGAAGAGAAGGGGCTTGTTTTGACTCACAGTTTGAAGTTTCAGTTAGATTTCCCCTGGTGAGTACAGCATAACATGGTAGGATCCTGTGATAGTAATACTGGTCACCTTTTGATTGACAGCAACATGAGAGGAAGAGGAGGGGCTTGCCTCTGACCTGGGCCCCGCCCCTCAAGGGTTCAGCCCTTCTCAGCAGCACCATAGGCTGGATAGGGACCTGTGATAACTGGGCCACTGGGGAAGCACTTGGTGGCTATTGCTAGTACCCACTATTCCTAGATGTGTTATGGAGGTGTTGGAAAGCGAGGGGCAAACTTTCTTACTTAGCTGGGGCTGATGTTACGTCATCGGAGCACAACAGTTCTCATCGTCCTACCCATAAGATGGGGTGGAGCACACTTCAGGTGTTGGATGGGAACAGGAGCAGTTAGAGATTAGGTTCCCTTACAGTGAAAAGGGGAGGTATCAAGACCTGATTCTCTGCCACCCAGCAGGGTCACTTGGGTGTGAATGTCTTTTTGCTCATTAAGACATTGACAAGCCACCCCACAGCCCCAGACAATACTGAGTGCATGGTCTCTGGCATAAAAGTCTTTGTCAGAGGAGCCCTGGAGCATAGCCCTTCCTCACCTGCGGTGGGTCCCCTGGATGTTGTCATGGCCATCGTCGTGGCTGTTATATCTTGCCTTGAATCTAACCCTGACTCGTCCCTGTGTCCGAGGTTGCTCTGCCTGATGTGAAAGTGGGAATGTGAACTGTGGACGTGTTGAGCTTGATCCTGGTCTGTGCAGTGTAGAGCTGGGCCTGGCAATGAGGTCAGCATTGCCTGCGTTCCTAGCATGGCGGTAGCACTACCGTATGAAGAAGACATAGACTGTGGCACCTGTGCATTGGGAACTGGATCTGGGCTCGGATTATGGCATCATGGCAGCCCTTATGCTGCCCATTTTCTGAGCTGGCCCTCTCGCTTTTTGAGGAATCTATGAGGTGCCAAAAGTTTTGAGTGAAATTCTCAATTCGAATCAGCCAAAGTATATTTCTGTTGCTTAAAACTAGGAAGCTGAGTTCTGTAGAGAAACTGTACTATAGTTATTTGAGGGTCTTATTCATTTTCCAATCACCTGAGTATCTCTATGAGCCTCAGAATCTAACATAAGACAGATGCTGGTTGAGGGATGGTGAGACCATGGACACCATGGATCTGAGCAGACTCCACTTCTAGCTCAGCTCTGGAGGGTGCCCAGCACTTGGAGGTGCTCAGGAGGGTTTGGATGAAGTTGTCTTTGGCCCAGACCTTGTCATACCTGTTCTTGCTCGTGACTTACAAATTGTAAATCTGCATACTCTTTGTTTTGACGATGCTGCCTGTCTCTGTTGCCCAGTGTTGGGGTCACTGACATGTGCAGCCATTCCTGGCATAACGAGGGTATTGGGGTTCTGAACGTAAGTCCTCATATATGTGGTGTCGTCATTTACCCACTGAGTCCTCTGCCCAGCTCTGGGTTTCTTTTATTCCCTTTGTTCCACTCCTTCCTGATCACAGTTGTTCTCCTTGCAGAGGCTCCTGGCCCAGGACAGAGGATTGCAGCCCTTCTTCCGGGAACTCTCTGGACGCATCTTCCCAGCATCCTCTAGCAAAGATGCGTCAGCTCAAGGGGAAGCCAAAGAAGGAGACATCCAAGGACAAGAAGGAGCGGAAGCAGGCCATGCAGGAGGCCCGGCAGCAGATCACCACAGTGGTGCTGCCCACCCTGGCTGTGGTGGTGCTCCTGATCGTGGTGTTCGTGTATGTGGCCACGCGCCCCGCAGTCACCGAGTGAGCCCCTCTGTTCCAGCTCTCCTCTGCAGAGATGTCTACAGCGCCGAGCTCGCAGCAGGAGGGCCCTATCTTCTCTGCTCTTTGACTTGACTAAAATTTCTCTACTTGTTTGGGGGAGGGAATAGGGAATATTTTATCAGTGAATGTGCCATACACCTGATGGTCCACTTCATGTGCCTTTCAGACTTCAAAGCAGAGTGTGTGTGTGTGTGTGTGTGTGTGTGCGCGCGCGCGCGCGTGCGTGTGTTTCTTTTTCTCCTGAAATTGATGCATAACTGCGCCTGGGGAGCCGAGGACTCTCTGGGTTGGTTGGAATCAGTGCCACCTCCCTCCCATCCCTGCAACATGCTCTCCTGCTCCTGCTCACGACTTCCTAAGGGGACAGCATTTCTGCTCTGTGCTTGATGGGATTTGAAATATGTTGATTCAAAGTGAAATATTTATTTTTTGAATAAAGGAGATTAATAGTCTTAAACTGGGTGTTTGTCTTGTTCTGTGTCCCTTTCTCTACTTCCCTTCCCCTGGGGCTGTTTCCACTTCCCCGTTAGCTTGCTACTGTTCTGCACTAGCGGGAACATGGTGCATCTTGACCAGATTTTTGTAAGGCTGAGGAGGAAGTCTGAGTGCTAACTGACCTCTTTGAGCAAAGTGAGAGTTCTCACTGGACCACACAGGCTTTCTGGCTGGTTAGCTTTTCCTGCTGGATGCTATATTTGCAAATGGCAACACACCCTAATTCCTAGTGGTAAAAGGCCAGGCTAGCTTTTGTTCTTAGCTGATGGATGCAGGCTCTTGGCAGTCCAACTGAGTTTTAAATGCAAATTGGCCTGAGTCTCATTGTATTCCAGCAGCAGTGGCTTCCCAGGTTCTGCCTGATGGAGCTGCCTCCTTAGAAGTCAGATAAGTGTTTCATGGGTGTCTCTTGGCTCTGTCACTGCTGATTACAGAGAGACTTGCAAGGAGGAAAGGGCTTTCCCATTATCAGTGGTGGCTAATGACTGGCTGACAGCATGCGCGGATGTTACTGGATATTTGAAGACTGTTGGAGGGAATCTTTCTGGGGGAGAAGATGAAAGACTCCAGCTGAAGTCTGGAGATGCAGACATGGGTGAGTGACTAGGAGCTGCTTCCCACCCTGAGGGTCAGTGGTCAAGTGTGGTGTGGGCAGAGTGTGTGACAACAAGCTCTCAAGTGTGGGGAACTTGGGGCTCTTTCGAGCCTCAATGGCTGGTGGTTTTGGAAAGATGGAAGGCCACAGCCCCAAGGCCCTGCTCAACCAGGAATTGGAGGGGAAGCTTGCAGCCATTCCCTGTTTTCCACTGTGGCCTCAGGTTGCTGGCTGACCCCTCCTCCCAGAGTATATGTCCTGAAGGCATGGCAAGAGCAGCCTTCCCTCCCACCAACAGAGCAAGGCCTGCCTGTGTCTTGGTGGCCTGGTCTGTATTTAGTCCTCAGATTCTACAGGGATTGCATGACCGCGCTGCGCTTTGGTTTCTCTGTGAGCAGCTTCTAGAAAACACTAGGGAGAGGAAACTTCTAGTGGAAAATGAAGTTTTAGAGTGGACCTGAGTTCTCATGCCGATTGCACTGCTAGAACTCAAGTCCATGTCCTGTGGCAAAAGTAGCGATGGTTGTCACCCTGTCTTAGGGTGGGTGTGAGGGTCTGCAGTGGCAGAGCCCTGTAGTCCAGGAATCCGTGTCCCACTGCAGTGGCAGGGCCCAGGCCTGTTGTTCCCTTGGCTTTTATTATGGGAGATCTCAAACACAAGTAGGAACAGACTGTGTAAGTAAGGGTCCTCATGACTGAGAAGTGTGTGCTCACTAACAGGCTTCCACGGCTATGGCATAAAAAACCCCAGCTCTCACCTTGAAGGGGATAGGAAATAATTTTTTTCTGGAGCCAAATATGAATGACCATGGTTCCAGAACACAGATTTAGTTTACCCCAAATTTTATGTTCCAGCATAAGAGTTTTGTGATATTTTTGTAGCAAGAGAACAAAGAAGTCATAAATCAAGACATTTTATGATACATTGTAGGAACGAACGTCAGGTTAGAGCAAAGCTGCTAAAGCCTCACATAGGTATATATTGATGACATTTTTAACTTTTGGCTTCATACATCTCGAAAAGATGGGTCTAATAGAGCGTTAGGTCATGTATAGAAAAGGGCAATAAAAGGCTCTTCAAGGTGGCCAAGATAGCCCAAGATAGTCTCAGAATCAGCAACACTGTTACATCTTAGCATTGTTGAAGTCCTTTTGGTCAATCCATCTGTAGAATGTTCCAGGTAGGCAAGAAGTTCTCTTTCTGGAAACTTCAGGTCATAGAAATGACACAGAAATTTAGTATCTGTATCCTCAGTATCTTTTCCTCAGTAACTTACCCTTGTCTCCCTCAAAAGAACTCCCATGAGATCCACAGTGTACTAAAGAGGACAGGAAAGGTTTACTACAAAAGAGCCCTCTTAAGAAAGGATGGCAGCTTGTGGCCCAGGGTCCATTGTGCTAACCTCCATATTTGGGTAGGTTTTCCTGAGGAGTGTTTCCCTATCTGGGTGATTGACAGGCTTACTTCAGTGGTGGGGACAGTGGTGGTCTTTGGTCTTCACTGGAAGGAGCCTCCTCTTCAACAGTAACTGAACTGTGTGACATTTCAGACTGTCACGTCTCCACTCTGCCCCAGACATCTGACTCGGATCCCATTTTTCTGGCCAGCAGTCAGAGTTCTGAAGTTTGAGGTCCCAGTTTTACAAGCTGGAATTCTGAGGAAGAGGCCCATGCTAATGAGCTTCAATACCATCTGCCGAGCGGAGGAGGTGAACCTGGGACCAGCTCCAGAGGCCACAGTCTCCATTAGAGTTTCAATGGAGACTTCACTTCAAATCTGCACTTCCTAGTGTTTGAACGGGCCTCACGGGATGAGAGACTGTGCAGCGTCTTAGATATCATTAGTAGGTGACATTGGTGTCCTCTACAGGGCACCTCAAAAGCCATCATTCAGGTGAAGAAGGGCCTTGCCAGGAGACATCAAGAGAGATGTCTGTCCTGTGGGCTCCTTATGCAAACATTTGGGGGTTCTTTGACATACGAGATTTTTGAGTTATCTAAAAGCATGAGTTTGGGCAGCAAAGGTATTTGTGGATCAAACCTACCCCTTGGCTTTCTAGTTGAGCAGCCTCAGACTTCCACAGTTGAACTCCGGGGCTCCACATCTGCTGATTTTTCCATTGGGACGGTAAGAGGATAAATCGAAATACAGGACCAACATAGCATCCTATCCAGTATAGGTGTTAAGAACATGCCTATTTCTTCCCTGATCCGTGTGTTCAGAACCTGACAGAACACACATGCAGTCCTGTTCCCTGGGCTTTCCTAGCAGCTTAGATCCCAGAACACATGTGATGAGCCCATGACATCACATGTATGTCTTGCTTGCCTTGATGTTTCCCTCTTGCCCTGGGGAGGGAGGCGGATTTGACCTGTATCTACAGAGGCAGTGCCTAAGCAGGCTCAGTGAAGGTGGGCTTAAAGCAGACTTTGGAGGTTAATACAATCTTGCTGTAAGCTGCCCTCAGGCCGGCCTGAGATGCCAGTTTACTGTGCATCTGTTGGGTGGAAACTCACCAATTCTCAGAGTAAATTGTGTTCTCTTGTGTGGGTGCACTTGGTAATGAGCTGAGGCACTGGCTTCTGGGTTCTCCCCAGGTACTCAGCGGCGTCGTGCCGAAACAGATTGATGTATTAGGCATGTCAGAGCGAGGCTGCGGTTTCTGCAGTGGGGTATGGGACTCTAGGGGCTTAGGCTGCATTACTGAGTCATGTTGGAAACAGGAAGAGGAGCCACAGCAGTGGGTGTAAATGCTGTCATTTGATGCTTGTTTTAAGTCAGTGCGACCCTGTGTGTTTGCTTACCCATTCTTTGGCTAAGCAGAATCTCAGTGACCCATCAGTGCAGCTGCTGGGGTAGGAAACTAAGAATTCAGAGCAGTCTTCTCTCAGGGTGACGCTGGCCAAGCATCTCTGTGGGTATGTCTGACTATAGCTTCTCTTATGACCTCTGATACCCTAGAGATTCTGAGTGCAGCATCAACATAGTCCCTGTGTGAGTTAAAAGGTCACACAGAACTCGGGGAACCAGCAGCCCCAAGGATGGAAACTTCCAGGAAGCCTGCATGGCCTCTCCATCTGCTTGGTGCTGTGTGGCTGCTCTGGTTACTTAGGATCCTGCACCGGGGAGAGCAAGGCTCAGTTTGATGAGTTCTGAGGTTGCCGCCTCTAATTCCTCCCTAGCTAGTTCAAAGAGTGATAGGCGTGTGTCCCTCCCTGCTTCCTGCCAGCAGCCAGGCTCATCTGAGAATTGGCAATGCTGTCACTTGCCTGGGGTTGTTGGCAGCATTAAACAGATGGTTCTTTTCCCACCCGCCCCACAGAGGATCTTATACCATCATTTACTTGCTAGAGGAGAGAAAGGAGGAAGTGGCTTGGTTCTGTCCACCATCATGTGTGTTGGCATCTGCTGTAACTGCTCCCTGACGCCGACCCATGCTGTGTGTCTCCTGATTTCACGAGAAATGTGGTTTCTCTCTGTAGGAGCCCTACTGATTCTGGGTTCTCCATGGTATTTGCCACAGACTGCTCTGCAGACACCAGGCATGAGATACAGTGTCTTCAACTTAAGGAACTATGTGAGAGCTGCCTGCCAGGTCCTTCCTGAATGCCTGCAGTAAGAACAGAGATGTTCAGGGCTGGGAGGTGATTGTCCCTGTTCTCACATTTCTGATATTAGGAAGAACAGGTGGGCTTGTCTGGCTTCCCGCGCCTGCCCTGCTGGGCCCTGATTTCTTCTGATGAGTCTTTTGGATAGTATCTTGCCTTCCCCAGCAAACTTCTTCGACATTAGTATATGTCAGGTGCTGCCCTGGGTTATTTCTCTGCCTGCCAGTTCTTTCTAAAAGATCAGCCTTTTCAAAAGCTTTTAATCCCTTCAGCTGCTAAGTCATAGGCGCTGGGGATCCCAGAGAGCTCCTGAATGCTTGATAAAACTGGTAAGACCCTGGCTGAGCCTCTCTGCTTCCCTTGGCATTTTCTTCCCCACATTTCATAAACATTGTCTGCCTTTCAACTCTCCCGGAAAGAACATTTTTCCAACTTTTAAATATTCCCTTTCCGGTATTGATCACATTAAATGCCTGCCTCACAATTCTCCCAGATCAGATTTTCAGAGACATAGTTACATCTACAAAGACATACATTTAGAAAGAAATGGAGAATGAGAAGATGGGGAAAGATGAGGCAAGCATACATGAGCAGAAACCATGGCAACAGTTGTAACATCAGTGAAACAAATGAAAGGCAGATGTGTCATGAGGAATAAGAGATGGCGGACGCTAGTCAGGCAGTAGGAAGGACGATGTGACTGCAGATGTGTGGGCTGATACCCTGGCCTCATATCTACGTGAAGCAACCCATACTGCTGGGGGTCGGCAGGAAGATCTGCTCATTCTGATTGTGCTTCGTGATTCATCTTTCAAGTAACCGAACGTCAGAATAATAAAATTGGTACGCTCGATCTGGTAGATAAATAGATGTAATCAGTATGTTCCCTCAGCTGGAGATGTGCATTCTCAAGAACACGCACCTGGAAACATTCATAAAAATTGGCTTAATTTTCAGATTGGATGAAAAATATAGACCTACAATTCAGAAGTCTCAACAAGCGCTAAGCAAGATCACAGGAAATCACCTTGATCAGTTCACTGGAAACCAAAATTAGATCGTGGGGGGTGTTGAAAGCAGATGCCCATGGAACAAGCATTCCGTGGCCCTTCCTGCTTGAGCTCTCCGTTCCCAGTGCTCAGAGTGCTGAAGCCTGTGCTGGCTGCTGTTCCTGACCGTGATTACCTAGCAGCGGGAAAACAGGGTTTTTTGGTTCCTGTTCTTACAATGTGTATTCTCCTGGGTGATGGCTGACATACATGGCAGTAATTAAAAAAAAAAAAACCCTTTATGAATGTGAAGCATCTGAAGATTAGTTTCATATGAGCATTTTATGGAGAAATTATGGATATGAATTTCAAGCATTCAAGAGAGAAATAGAGAAAATAGAG